CCTTAACCTCATTGGCAGGGGCGGATACAGAAGTTTAAAGTTTGGGGGGGCACAATCGAACTTGAAAAGAAGTTGGGAGAAATTTTACAATCGAAAATTTACGTCCAAAAAAATCATACTCCATGTGATTTTGCATCCGAAAATTTACATGAAATATAACTTTTTCAGATGTAAAATTTCGAAATTTTTTGATGTCATATTTCATATAAAATTTTCTAATAAAATGATGAAAACTAAATTGAGAAATTTGTATTGCAAAAATAATAAATGTTAATGAAATAATTGATTTTTTTTATAAAAAAAATGCGAGTTAGACGTCTTTCTTTAAGACTCGCGTTTAACTATTTTCGATATCTGTTTGGACTATTCGATATGCTTATAATGTAGTTTTCGAAATAAGCTTTAAAATGATATAAGTAATTTGTAGATTTGATTAGCGTACGATTGTTGAAGAATTTTTAAAATTAGTTTGTTATCGAAATTCAAATTTATTGTGATTTTGCCTCTATTTGGTAGAAATTAAAATCAAATTTTTAGAAAATTTTAATAAAAGTTAAATATGGATTACATGAAATATGTTATTAAAATTAATTGTTAACTTTGATTTATATTAAAATTTAGATTTTAATCGATACCAAATATAACTTTAAAAAAAATAAAAAAAATTCAAAAGTTGACCCCCCTTAGGGTCCGCCCCTGCTCATTGGTGATGTCCCCCATCAATCCCTCCACAGGTTGTCCCAAACATATGGCCACATTATGTAACTGAAATTTGGTTCAAAATCAGTTGTCGTCGTCTCATCGGCCGACAAGGCTAAACTATTATTAAGAACATATGATCATATGACTCATATCTTTGTTTCTCGCCCTGCAACTGCTTCTTGAAAGTACACTACTTATAACTATTGTGATGTGACATGGCACCCTATGGTCCATATTGTGTGGAATTTAGTGGAATTGAATGTAAAGATGATGAACAATGAATGTATTACATGAGTTCTAATTTACAATGAAAGAATAGATGAAGCTTATATGGGAAGATAAGTAACGGTTGCCTATGTTCTATGTTAGTGTTGACGTACTGTACAATGGAAGAATTAGGTAGAAAGTTGAGTTGGCAACCCTGAATATTGCTGTTCCTTTTGACCAGAAATGGGCCTGT